GAGACAGGGTCTTGCTCTGTCACGCAGCTGGAGTGCAGTGGTGCAATCATGGCTCACTGCAGCCTCAACCTCACAGGCCCAAGGGATCCTGCCACCTCAGCCTCTCAAGTAGTTGGTACTACAGGCAAGAGCCACCATGCCCAGCTAATTTTTGTTTTTGTTTCCTGTAAAGACAAAAAAACATGTTGCTCAGGCTGGTCTTGAACCCTGAGCACAAGCCATCCACCCACGTCCGCCTCCCAAAGTGCTGGTTTGCAGGTGTGAGCCACCATGCCCGGCTGCTACTCACTTTTCATAAAGAGATCAGAATAGGATACTCTAAGCCAGTCTCTCTAGAATATTTAAGAGGACCTCATTTGCAAAGTATTGATTTAAATAGAACTTTTCCAGAACCCACCAACCGTATAAGGCCATGGACATGTCACTGAATTGCAGAGTATATCATATTACTTAGGCAAGAACCAGGGAGCTTAGGACATAGCATGGGGCCCACCCACTGGGGTGAAAATCTATGTTTGGGGAGCTGACGATATTGCAGTGCTTGCAAAGGAAATTCAATCTATCAGGCAATTTCAGCTCACAGCAATTTTTGCTTACAGCTCAGGGGAGCAGTTGGCCAAGGGGGAAGGAGAGAAAGGCCATAAGTCAGAAGCAGAAATACATCCAATAAACAGAGTCCAGCGATGGGCAGGTAATACTTGGAAATCCAGACAGGAAGCTGGCTCCATGGAGTCTGTCCTCTAGAGGCTAAGCTCCAATCAGAAACCTCAGGCCTGAGGCAGAGCTCCAATTCCGGGTGGGAGCCTGGCATGGGAAAGGCCTCTTTACTCCTAGGAAAAATCTGGGGCTCAAGGCAGGCTGCCAGGCAGGAACTTGGGAACAGCAGTACCCACAGGGGACCTTAGGCTTGGGAACGGGGCAAGAGCCCAATTAACAGAATCAGGGCACTGCCTCTGGGCAGACTGGCTGGGAGTGTGGCTGGGTGATGAGCTGCAGAGAGCAAGGCTGGGCTGGATTCAGTGCCCTTGCCATGGGCCTGGGATGACCCAAGAACTGGGCTGAGCCCCCTGGGGAAAATCAAGAACATGTTCCTGCTGGGGATGAAGAAAGGGGAAAGGCTGGGGCTCCCTGGGCCTCCGTGTTTGCCTTTCTTCCAAAAGTCCACTTCAGGATTATATATGCCTGGTTACCTCTTTCATCAGCAAGTAAGATGTTCCACAGAAGGGCGGAGACTCTCAAGTGGATCAATCAATGATACTCTGAGAGGGGAGGGTGAAACTGAAATTAATGACAAAAGAAGTTCAGAGCCCTTCTTTGTGTATTGTACATGCCCTAAGCAAACTAGTAATGAGAAATGCCATTTCCTAATGGAAAAAAGAAAGTAATAAAATAGAACTAATGCACCTCCTAGTACTCAGACCCTCTCCCTGTTAGTGCAGCATGAAAGGGGGATCTCTGAGGTTTTCTAGATCTCCCGCAATCCATCAACCCTGCCAAAGCACTTCAGATAAGCCATCTCATTTGCTTGCCATGCAAATGTAACTTTAAAATAAGCCCCCCAGCTTCCAATCTAATCTCTGTCCCTATGGAGGTCATTGGGGGTTGAAACTCTCTTTCCACATCCCTCTTTTGCACACCCCTGTGAAACACACAACCGGACTACCTGTGTCTACCATGGGAATATTACTGTACTTCTCCCTTCTCGGGAAATGGAGTCCAATCTTCTCCTTTCGTCCAGCCTTTCTCTGGCACCAGGATACTTTGCCGCTGGCTGGCTGGCTGCATGCTTTGTTGGTTGTTCTGTTTGTTCATATCTCATTGACCCTAGAAGATGTGGCAGAGAATAGCAGTTCCTCACCAGTGCGGTGTGTCAGTCACCCTGGAAGCTCTCCTAGACCCCACATGCATCGGTCCTGACCCAGACCTACCAAATCTGAATCCCTGGGGTGGGAACCAAAAAAAAAACAAACAAACAAACAAACTACATTTTTACAAGTATGGATTATGCTGTACTTACACTACTTTAAAAATAAAAAGGAAAATAAAAGAATAAAGTAGATCAATTGTCATAGCAAGATGTCCATGATACATTAACTGCAAGTTGTTACAGAACACTATTATTACATGATTAATGGATTGTATTATTAAATGCATTCATCAGGCATTTTTATGAAAATGGAAAATATCCGTGTGTGTAATATAATATACAGGCAGATATTTAAACAAAAGAATTCATGGACTTGGGATTTTATCCACCGTTCCCTGTTCTCCTCTGCCATTCACATCCCAAGCCCTAGGTAAAGTGAAACCAATTTCAGATATAGAATCATACTGGTTATATTATGGCTCTATCATTTGGTAGCCATAAAAAATTTGGCAAGTTGCTAAATTACCCTAAGCTTCAATTTTTTTCACCTTTGAAATGAGATGTAATACCATTACTCCGTTATATGGTACTGTTGTAAGGACAAATAAGATTGTATACATGCCCAGTCTCGTGTTAGACAAATTATAAGAAAGACTTTTTAGGGAAAAATTAGTCTTACAAATTAAACAGTACTTGAGAATTTTTTTCTTTCTAAAAAATTAGAAAATGGAGAAAAACACAATTGAACAGTTTTATATTCATCTTTCTTACTTTAGAACAGGAAAGCTTACACCTGTTTTACCGAAGGGTTGCTGGAAGAGGGTCAGCCCATCAGCACAACAGCATTCAGAGAAGGACTGGCTAACTCTGAGACCTCAGTAGCTTGATCTACCTGCCAAAATGAGAGAAAATGAGAGCCAGAAACTCAGGGCCCCAATTCTCCCCTCCTAGACCTAGTATCCGTATATTAAACTACTCCTTCCAATGTTAAGAACTCCACACAGAGGCCGGGCACAGTGGCTCACATCTGTAATTCCAGCACTTTGGGAGGCTGAGGTGGGCGGATCACCTGAAGTCGGGAGTTTGCAGACCAGCCTGACCAATGTGGAGAAACCCAGTCTCTACTAAAAACACAAAAAATTAGCCTGGTGTGGTGGCACATGCGTGTAATCCTAGCTACTGGGGAGGCTGAGGCCGGAGAACTGCCTGAACCTGAGAGGCAAAGGTTGTGGTAAGCTAAGATCATGCCATTGCACTCCAGCCTGGCCAACAGGAGCAAGACTCTATCTCAAAAAAAAACAAAAAAACAAAAACAAAAACTCCACAGAAACCAAAGTACTCCAAAATAACAATAACTGTTTGCCTAACAGTAAATGATCACCACGCACTGATTTCTTCCTAAGCACTTTAGCCAGGTGAGGTGGCTCATGCCTGTAATCCTGGCTACTCAGAAGGCTGAGCTGGGAGGATCGTTTGAGCTTGGAAGGTCAAGGCTGCAGTGAGCTGTGATTGTGTAATTGCATCACTGCACTCGAGCTTGGGTAATAGAGTGAGATTCTGTCTCAAAAAAAAAGTTTGCTGGCCAGGCACGGTGGCTCATACCTATAATCCCAGCACTTTGGGAGGCTGAGGTGGGTGGCGCACCTGAGGTCAGGGGTTCGAGACCAGCCTGACCAATATGGAGAAACTTCGTCTCTACTAAAAATACAAAATTAGCCAGGCAAGGTGGCACGTGCCTGTAATCCCAGCTACTCGACAGGCTGAGGCAGGAGAATTCCTTGAACCCAGGAGGTGGCAGTTACCGTAAGCCGAGATTGCGCCATTGTACTCCAGCCTGAGCAACAAGAGCAAAACTCAGGCTCAAAAAAAAAAAAAAGATTTGCTTTATAAACCACAGAATATATGCCTAAAATGTTTTCTTATTTTTAAAGATTATTTATAGACTATTTATTGTTAGGAAAAATATTTTATTTCTTAATTATTTATCATCTGAACAAGGTAGGACATGTTAGCATCAAAGAGCACTGGAAGGAGGCAGATTTACAACCAGCCTCTGGCAATCTCACTGTCTAACTGGGGGCAACCCCTGCTGTTCAAATGAGAGAAAATGAGAGCCAGAAAAATTACATTCTAATACTTCTAAGTTAGTATTAGAAGTTGAACAGTACCTGAGAAATTTTTTCTTCCCTAAAAAAATATAAAATGGAGAAAAACACAATTAAACAGTTTTATATTAATTTTTCTTATTCTTAGAATAAGAAAGATCATGCCTGCTTCATGGGGGGACTGCTAGAAGAGTATCAGACTATCCGAACAAGAGCATTCAGAGAAGGCCTGTCTAACCCAGAGACCTTGCCACCCTGGTCTACCTGCCTAGTTGGGCCTTGCTAGAAGCACTTGTGGCTGCCACCTGCAGGCCTCCTTCCAGCCTACATGCCTTGTGGCAAAAGTTGCATGGCATCTGGCAGACTGGAAAATCATGCAAATATTCACGATCTTGCCAAAATCCCTAATCAAGGGTGAACAAGCTGTTAAGAGAAATTC